AGCAATAGGAGGCGTGGGAGAAAGTTCCAGAAAGAGGGAATGGCCCTAGTGGCCGTGGGCTGCAGAGAGAGAATCCAGCAGGCTGTGCTCGGAGTCAGTGATGTGGCCCTGGGCTCAGCAGCAGAAACAGGAATGAGGCAGCCCAGGAGCCCGGGGGAACGCGTGTCGGCGGCTGCTCAGCCTGCAGGAGCCTTCGGCTGCGTCCTCCTGGCCACCCCGCCCCGGCAGGGAGCAGGAGGCGGCATCACTGCGGGAGCGGACAGGCCACGGGCCCTTGCTCAGCAGGACCAGCTCTGAGGGCTCCTGAGGAGCCCCAGAGTTGGGGGCTATGGGGGAGACACTGCTGCGCCACTTTGCCCCCCGCCCTCCTCAGCCCAGCGCGCCCCTTGTCCCCACGGTTCTCCCTTTCTCCATCCACACACCCACCCGTCCAACAGCAGCCCTGAGCCCCTGGGCAGGCCCGGTCCCACTGGACCCCAGGACAGAGACAAAAGGGATGTGGCCCTGCCTCTTGGGAGCTCACGGTTTCATGGGGGACACTTGGCGGTGAACCCTCACAGTTCAGCATGCTGGTAAGTCCCCCTGGGGCCTGGCGACAGTCACCAGGTCAGGAGGCCGATGGGGCTGAAGTGAATGGGAGAGCATTCTGGGGGAGACAGGGGCAGCAAAGGCTGGGCGAGGCTGTGAGAGTGGGGTGTGCCCCAGCTGTGGGGCCAGGAGTTTGCAGAGCTCTGGAGAGGTGAGCCCGCCGGGGGCCTGGTGCAGGATGGGGTGGGGGGGATGCTCTGAAGAGACAAGCAGGTGGAAGAGCCCAGGGCCCAGGGCAGGCCCAGGTCTCCAGGGGGCGTGGTGCCCGGGAAGCGACCTTGGGGTTTGGGACACATTAAGAATGCTGTGCTCCTGCGGGCGCCCAGCAGGTAGAGGTAGCCTTGAGGGGCTGGAATGAGATTCCTGGGAGCTTCAGGTCTGAGATCCAGGACTGGGCGGCTGGGTCAGGCCTCACTGATGAGGAGAGAGGCTCTGGCCACAGGCCTAGGGGACCCGCTTCAGAACCTGGCCCAGCCTGTGGGTCGGGCTGCAGAGAGGGAGGGCGCCCTGGAGGCCACACCTGACATCCCTGTGTCCCTCCCCAGGACAGGGGGAAGCTAGCCGCCAGCGTGGCTGTCCTCTCACAGCCTGTCAACGTCCAGGCAGCCAGTCCGCTGACCCTTCTGGGCCTCTTACCTCTTCCTGAAGGGCAGCAGTGAGAATCACCCTTCCCAGGACACCACCCCAGGAGGCTGAGCCCGGGGTGAGGGAATCCAGGGCTAGTTACTGTGTGCGCCCTGCCAGCATGCACACTGTGGTTTTCCTTGGCCATCACTCGCTTTCCTGTGTCCAGGCCTCCAGGTGAGTCATCCCTATTCCAGAGCCTGGAGCAGACTCACCATGCAGGCCTGGCCGCAGGAGCATGGCATCTCCAAGGTAGGTAGGGAGCATGGCATCATCAAGGCAATGGTGAGACTGTGCCAGAATGTCAGGTTCAGAGACTGTGCCAGAATGTCAGGCACAGAAATGCTCACTAATCTGGGGTGGGCAGACAGGCCAGAAGGCTGGGCTGTGGATGGTCACTAGGTGATGACAGAAGCAAAGGCAGAAAGAAGTAGAGCCAAGAGGTGGAAAGAACTAGGTGCACCGGCTTATTCTCGTGCCATCTATGGAGCCTTGATCCAGCCATGCCTGAAGTCCGCCTCTGAACTCTTACACGTTGCCCCTCTCTCCCCCCTCCCTCCCAGCAACTAGGAGGGAAGTTCCTTCACACCTCTTCTCTTTTCTCTCTGCTCTCTCCTTTCTCTGGCTTCCTTTTCAGTTGGATTCTGTCCTTTGTAGCCAAACACTCCTGATAATACCCATAAGTTGTCCCCAGGAAACAATGCCACGGGGGAGAATTTTAGTCCTGTGGGACCCTCTCCCCAGAGCACGAGTGCCAGGCTCTGCCCTGCCCCCCACCTGGACCCCTTCCTGGGGCCTGTCTCTAGATCCCAGACCCGGACCCACAGCCTGACACAAGGCAATCACACAACCACTGCGCCGGGCAGCTCGACCCCACCCACTGGGCAAGAACTCCAGACACAGAGGAATTCTGAAATAGGCTTCTGGGTTTTTATTCCAAACGACAGGGTGGCAATGCCACTTGGTTTCTCTACACCTGGCCGTCTGGGCCAGCAGGTACCAGCGCATCAGCAACTAGGAGGGAAGTTCATTCACGCCATAGAAACTGTACAGCGACTGGGAGCTGGAGTCATGGGCAGGGCCGGGCTGAGGGCTTCCTGGAGGCGGCAGCCCCAGCTCAGCCCGGCCCTGCAGGAACACTGATTATTGCACGAAGACAAAGAGTATGTGTGTCTGGGCTTAAACACGGGCTTCTCAGACCCCAAGCCCTGACACGGCGCAGCAGAGGGGGGCTGGAGGTGGCCCTGGAGACAGAAGGCTGAGGCGGGGTCCTGGGGGCCCACAGGCTGACACTGTGCAGGCTTCCTCCTCCGCCAGGGGGCGGCCTGGGGCGGCAGAAGCCTGGGCAGGGAAGCGGAAGAGGGTTAACCAGGGCACCCCCCTCCCCGCCTGGGCCCCTCTGTGCAGACCTGAGGTGCGGCCGGCCACGTCTCTGCAGGACACACCTCTGGGGTCAGGTGCGCACCCTCCGGGCCCAGGCGGTGGAGTAAGATTGTGCTTTAGTGACAGGCCGCCGCGAGGGGGCCGGGAGGCAGAGCCACTGCTTACCCAGAGCCCGTGTCCTCCCCCAACATGCCTGGGATGAAGTCTGGGCCTCGGGCAGCCCCGCTCCGAGCTGCCACCCACCTGCAGGCCCCACGCCCCCACAGGCTGGTCTGCCGCTCCTGGGGCCAGCCGGCTCAGGGCAGAGGGCCGGTTTCCATCCGACAAGCCCGGGCCTGTCCCTGCCCCGTGACGCCAGAACCACGTCCCTGGCCTGTGGGGGTGCGGGCGTGCACACCTCGGGGCCCACTGGCCCTGTGCAGGCGCCCGCACCCCACCCTTGGGATGGCTGACCCGGCCGGAGTGTGCTGCCGGCCCCAGCTGGAGCGGCGAGGCAGACGTGGCGGAAGCCGGGGCGCGGGGCAGGAGGGGACGCCTAGATCCACCTGCCCCCGCTGACCCCGGCCCTGGTGGACGCTGCCCGGGGCGGGGCACACCTACCCGGCCCTCGAGGACTCGCCCTCTGCTCGTCTGAGTGAGGACGGAGAGGCGCAACGGGCAGGGGCAGCATCCGACTCGCCCCCACGCTGGCCAAGCCACGCCGGCCACAGGGGCCGCCCACTGCCTCGCTGCAGGTACTCAGGTGCCCACACGGCAGGGCGTGGGGAGCCGGGCTGGCGCCTCAGCTCTGGAGGCCTGGCTTCCGCCCCTCCCCAGCCCACAGCAGCAAGGCGGGGAGCGGCCCTGCAACTGAGTCAGGCCTCCGGCCGCCTCCTTCCGCAGAGCCCGCGCCCAGGGTCCCTACGAGGCCCAGGCGGAAGACACGCAGCGCCCCCAGCCGCCCCCTCCCTGACTCACCAGCCCCCCGAAGCCTACCTCTGCGAGGTCAGGGCTTGGGAACCAGGGCAAGGCCCCCTCCGCAGGGCCAGGCCGTCCGAGGAGACCCCAGGCCAAGGTCCGCGCGATGGGGGTGCAGCCGCACCCACCCCTCTGCGACGGCAAAGCCCCCGTCCCGCCTGCCTCCTCTGCTGACGTCCGTCCACTCACTTTTAAAGTCACAGCCCTGACCCAAGCAGTATGTCTGTGACGTCACAGTTCAATATACTGGGGGTTTTCCTAGTAAATACTGAAATAAATGCGTAACTACTCAAATAAAAAAGTACCCGTGTGCGATGCTGTTCGGGAAGCGGCTGCAGTCACGCCTGATCTGCTGCTTTGGGAAGGGGGGGCGGTGGGGGGAACGAGGGGCCCAGAGCCCAGCGCTGGGTGCGGGGAGCCCGGGCAGAACCCCGCCCGTCAGGGTCCTGTCACATCCTAGATCCTGAACTCTGCTGGAGGAGGGTAGAATTGCTGTGGGGGAGGTGTAGACCTTCTAGAATGGTCTGAGCTGGGTGGACTGCCCAGCTGTGCCCACAGGGCGGCCACAGGGTGGCCAGCCCAGCCCCGGCAGTGTCCACCCTCCAAGCACCCCCCAGCCAGCACAGCCCCTCCCCGGTCCTCTCTTCTGCTGCCTGGGTCCCTGCCCTCAGCCTTCTGGGGGCAAAGCTGCAGACAGCCCACCCCAAAGTGCCCGCTGGGGCAGGGACTCCCTGGGGCTCCCCTGCCCAGCCTCGGAACAGCCCTCCACCCCCACCCTGCCCTAAGGAAATAAGACTACACGCCTGATGTTCTAAAGAAAGACACTAACTGGCTGACTAAGTGAGAGTGCACTGGGCATCTACACAAGACTGCTCACAACAGCTAGACAGTCAGGAACAGGACAGACACCCGCACACGGGGCGGGCCGGGTCTTAGCAGTGCTTCTTTAAAGGCGGAACAAGCGCACCCTGAATTTCACCTGTTCTCCGGGGCCCGTCTCCCGGCCAGCTGCAGGGCCCTCGCAGGGGTCCCCTCGGAGACACTCCCGACGGGGGGAGACACCAGAAGCAGGACTGCCAACCCCCCAGCAGCACCACCCGCCCCAGCTGGGTCTGGCCTGGGGCCTAAACGTCAGGCCGAAGCCCGCTCGGCCCCCGGCCCACACTCCCCAACTTAGCACTTTCTGGAAGTCATAGGCTCTCAGTAAAAAAAATAAATATATATATATATATATGTCTGTCTCTCTCTATGCACATATATATATGTATATGCACAGGAAGGACCCCGACGGGCGTCGGCGCCGCGCCAGCCCAGACCTCTCCGCAGCCCGGTGCCGGCTGGCCTGCACTGCCCAGGTTGTGGACAAAGTATTGCTGTCTGCCCCCTGGCTCCTGAGGTAAAGAAGGTGAGACGGGGCGGGTGGGCGTCCGGCTGGGGCCCCGGGGCCCTCATCTCTTCCTCTTGCTGGCCGGATCTCCGGGCTGCAGCTCTCGGGGGGACAGTGCCTCCAGGCCCGAGGGGCCCAGGCCCTCGGCCCGCTCGGCCTGGCCAGGCAGGTCCTTGCTGCGGCC